CGGCCACGCCCCTTTTGGGGGCGGAGCCACGACGAGCCTGTCCTCTAATAGGCTGAAATGGCCAGCGTTACCATGGTGACGTACGGAGAGGCGCGTCATCTGTGTCCCCCTCGCGAGGCCTTCTACCGGACTTCAACTCCCAGAAGCCTCAGCCGTTGAGGCCCATGATGAGGGATTCTGGGAGAGGAAGTCCCAAAGCCTGAAAATAATCAGAGTGCTGTCTTCCCTGCAGAGAGACTGGAGGGAGTCCATAGCAGGGAGCCATGGCAACTAAAGTGGGACCAAAGCGCGTTTATTATACTGTGTAGATGCATCCATTGGAGATCCATGTTAGAATATATAATATTATATATAGTTATAATATAGATTACTATATATATATATATATATATTTATATATATATATTATTAAATATTATATTATTAATACCTTATAATATATTATATTTATTGTATTATTTACAATTATTATATTATATATTATATTATTAAATATTATATTATTAATACCTTATAATATATTTATTATATTATTTACAATTATTATATAGATTATATTATTAAATATTATATTAATACCTTAAAATATATTATATTTATTATATTATTTACAATTTTTATATATTATTATATTATTAAAACCTTATAATATATTATATTTTTGTATTATTTACAATTATATAGATTATATTATTAAATATTATTATTAATACCATATATATTGTTTATTTATTATTTACAATTATATTATATATTATATTATTAAATATTATATTATTAATACCTTATATTATATTTATTATATTATTTACAATTATTATATTATATATATTATTAAATATTATATATTAATACCTTATAATATATTATATTTATTGTATTATTACAATATATTATATATATTATTTATTAAATATTATATTATTTATATCTTATATATTATATTTTATTATATTATTTACAATTATATTATATATATTGTTATTATTAAATATTATATTAATACTATAATTATATTTATTATATTATTTACAATTATTTATATATATTATATATTAATATTAATATACCTTATAATATATTATATTTTTGTATTATTTATTATTATATATATTATTATTACATATTATATATTATATCTTATATATATTATTTATTATTTATTATATATATAATATATTATAATATTATGTTATTATATATTATAATATATTATATTTTTATATTATTACTTATTATATTATATATATTATATTATTAAATATTACATTATTAATACCTTATAATGTTATATTTATTGTATTATTTAAAAGTATTATATAATATATATTATATTATTAAATATTATATTATTAATACCTTATATTATATTGTGGAACATTTGTATGATAATTATATATTATATGTATTATTATATATTATGTATTATATTAAAATTATATGTAACTATATTGCACAATATAATATTATAATATATTAAAAGGTATTATATTAATACCTTATAATATATTTTAATATTATATTGTGCAATATAGTTACATAAGGAATATATATATTATATTATTAAAATTATATTATTACTATCTTATAATATATTATAATATTATATTGTGTAATGTAGTAAGGTGAGGATTATATATATATATATATTTATTATAATACCTTATGATATATTATAATATTATAGTGTAATATAGTTAGATGAGGATTATATAGTATATATTATTAAAATTATATTATTAATACCTTATAATATAACATTGTTTAATATAGTTAGATGAGGATATATATATATATATATATATATATATATATATATACAAACACTTTATAATATAATATTATATTGTGTGATATAGCTTTATTAGGATTATTATAAATATAATTGATTATTATTATTCAAGTTGAAGGGACCCCCACAAGTTTATCTAGTCTGACCCCTTGCCAAACTAGGGATCCATGCATCCAAAGGCACCCATCCAACCTCTGTTTCAAAATTTCCAGAATACATACATACCTGGGAAACCGAATATTTCTCTTCTTTGCTTTCGGGATTGCTGTCCTTTCTCCTCGTGCCACCAGAAGGACATTCCCAACCCAAACAAGGACTAGAATTATTAATTCTCCATTATGTATTTGGGATTTCTCCTGGAACAGCTTTGATTATATGTTTTTTCTGCATAGGTTTCTATTATTATTATTATTGCAAAGACTGGATGGCCATCTGTTGCGGTGCTTGGATTGGGTTTCTCATGGGTTTCTGTTATTATTATTATTAAACACGGGATGGTCATCTGTTGGAGCGCTTCGATTGTGTTTTTCTTCATAGGTTACCATTATTATTATTATTATTATTATTATTATTATTATTGCAAGGACTGGATGGCCATCTGTTGCAGTGCTTGGATTGTGTTTTTCTTCATAGCTTACTATATTATTATTGCAAGGACTGGAGAGGGGCGGTTTTGTGCCATCTGTTGTGGTGCTTGGATTGTGTTTTTCTTCATAGCTTACTATTATTATTATTATTATTATTATTATTATTATTATTGCAAGGACTGGATGGCCATCTGTTGCAGTGCTTGGATTGTGTTTTTCTTCATAGCTTACTATTATTATTATTATTATTATTATTATTATTGCAAGGACTGGATGGCCATCTGTTGGGCTGCTTAGATTGGGTTTCTCTTGCATGGCTTACTATTATTATTGTTATTATTATTATTATTGTTATTATTGTTATTATTATTATTATTATTATTATTATTATTATTATTATTGCAAGGACTGGATGGTCATCTGTTGTTGTGCTTGGATTGTGTTTTTCTTCATAGGTTATTATTATTATTATTATTATTATTATTATTATTATTATTATTGCAAGGACTGGATGGCCATCTGTTGCAGTGCTTGCATTGTGTTTTTCTTCATAGCTTACTATTATTATTATTATTATTATTATTATTATTATTATTGCAAGGACTGGATGGCCATCTGTTGCGGTGCTTGGATTGTGTTTTTCTTCATAGCTTACTATTATTATTATTATTATTATTATTATTATTATTATTATTGCAAGGACTGGATGGCCATCTGTTGTGGTGCTTGGATTGTGTTTTTCTTCATAGGTTACTATTATTATTATTATTATTATTATTATTATTATTGCAAAGACTGGATGGTCATCTGTTGCGGTGCTTGGATTGTGTTTTTCTTGCATGGGTTACTATTATTATTATTATTATTATTATTATTATTATTATTATTGCAAGGACTGGATGGCCATCTGTTGCAGTGCTTGGATTGTGTTTTTCTTCATAGCTTACTATTATTATTATTATTATTATTATTATTATTATTATTGCAAGGACTGGATGGCCATCTGTTGGGCTGCTTAGATTGGGTTTCTCTTGCATGGCTTACTATTATTATTGTTATTATTATTATTATTGTTATTATTATTATTATTATTATTATTATTATTGCAAGGACTGGATGGTCATCTGTTGTTGTGCTTGGATTGTGTTTTTCTTCATAGGTTAGCCCCCGGTGGCGCAGTGGGTTAAAGCACTGAACTGCTGAGCTTGTTGATCGAAAGGTCACAGGTTCGATTCCGGGGAGCGGCGTGAAGCTTCCGCTGTCAGCCCTAGCTTCTGCCAACCTAGCAGTTCGAAAACATGCAAATGTGAGTAGATCAATAGGTACCACTCTGGCGGGAAGGTAACAGCTCTCCATGCAGTCATTGTGGCCACATGACCTTCGAAGTGTCTACCGACAACGCTGGCTCTTTGGCTTAGAAATGGAGATGAGCACCACACCCCAGAGTCAGACATGACTGGACTTAATGTCAGGGGAACTACCTTTACCTTTACCTTTTTACCATTATTATTATTATTATTACTATTACAAACATGGGATGGCCATCTGTTGCGGTGCTTGGATTGTGTTTTTCTTCATAGCTTATTATTATTATTATTACTATTACTATTGCAAGGACTGGATGGCCATCTGTTGTGGTGCTTGGATTGTGTTTTTCTTCATAGCTTACTATTATTATTATTATTATTGCAAGGACTGGATGGCCATCTGTTGCAGTGCTTGGATTGTGTTTTTCTTCATGGCTTATTATTATTGTTGTTGTTGTTGTTGTTGTTGTTGTTGCAAATAATAATAATAAGATTGCAAATATTATTATTATTGCAAATTATTATTATTATTATTATTATTATTATTGCAAGGACTGGATGGTCATCAGTTGGAGTGCTTGGATTGTGTTTTTCTTGCATGGGTAACTATTATTATTATTGCAAATAATAATAATAATAACATTGCAAATATTATTATTGCAAATTATTATTATTATTATTATTATTATTGCAAGGACTGGATGGCCATCGGTTGTGGTGCTTGGATTGTGCTTTTCTTGCATGGGTTACTATTATTATTATTATTATTATTATTATTATTATTATTGCAAGGACTGGATTATTATTATTATTATTGCAAATAATAATAATAATAACATTGCAAATATTATTATTGCAAATTATTATTATTATTATTATTATTATTGCAAGGACTGGATGGCCATCGGTTGTGGTGCTTGGATTGTGCTTTTCTTGCATGGGTTACTATTATTATTATTATTATTATTATTATTATTATTATTGCAAGGACTGGATGGCCATCTGTTGTGGTGCTTGGATTGTGGTTTTCTTGCATGGGTTTCTATTATTATTATTATTATTATTATTATTATTATTATTACAAACACGGGATAGTCATTTGTTGGGGTGTTTTGATTGTGTTTTTCTTGCATGGGTTTCTATCATCATCATCATCACCATCATCCTCGAACCTTTGGAGCCAATCTCATCAACTCAGCTTAACTTTCACAAATACGTTTATGTCGGTTCGGATCATAAGCTCGTTTTGTTTTGTTTTTCGAGAAGGATTTCAAGAGACAATGTTGTTGTGAAGAACGAGCACAAACACAAGCGCAGAGTGACAATCATATATTTTAGAAAACAGAACTGTTGTGAAAGTGCGTTGGAAAGAAAAGGAAGAACGAAAAACACAACAAAGGGAAGTCGAAAGGCAAAACGACGGCTCGTGGGCCGTTTCTGGCCCGAAGTTCAGATCAGGTCAAAATCGATGGGGCTGATGCGGGCGACGGGGGCCCTCCAGAAGTTAAAGCTGTTGAACTGGAGGAGGCTGTCGTCGCCGTCTTCGCCGTCCGGAGAGGGACGGTTTTGTGCGTCGCGGCCCGCGGCCACTCCACCTTTGGGCTTGTAGGCGGCCATGTCGGTCAGGCCGAGGAGCTCCAACTCAGAGAGGTCCAGCTCCGGGATGGGCATGCGCCAGAAGAGGAAGGAGTCGTACTGGGAGTTGATGGTGTCCCTCATCGCTGCCTGCAAAGAGAATCGGAGCGTGCCATTATTGACTTCGATCATGGAGTTGGCAACTACTACGAGGTCATCTACCTATAGTATAGCAGGCCTATCTAGGCAACCATCAGGAGGTCATCTACATATAGTATAGCAGGCCTATCTTTGCAACCAACAGGTGGTCATCTACGTATAGTATAGCAGGCCTATCTTGGCAACCATCTGGAGGTCATCTACATATAATATAGCAGGCCTATCTTGGCAACCATCTGGAGGTCATCTATATATAGTATAGCAAGCCTAACTTGGCAACCATCAGGAGGTCATCTACATATAGTATAGCAGGCCTATCTTGACAACCATGAGGTCATCTATGTAAAGTATAGGAAGCCTATCTTGGCAACCATCTGGAGGTCATCTACGTATAGTATAGCAGGCCTATCTTTGCAACCATAAGGACATCATCTACATACAGTATAGCAGGTCTATCTTGACAACCATCTGGAGGTCATCTACGTATAGTATAGCAGGCCTATCTTGGCAACCATAAGGGTAGTCACCTACATATAGTATAGGAGGCCTATCTTGGCAATCATCAGGAGATCATCTATGTATAGTATAGCTGGCCTATCTAGGCAACCATAAGGAGGTCATCTACGTATAGTATAGCAGGCCTATCTTGGCAACCATCAGGAGGTCATCTACATATAGTATAACAGGCCTATCTTGGCAACCATCAGGAGGTCATCTACATAAAGTATAGCAGGCCTATCTTGGCAACCACAAGGAGGTCATCTACATATAGTATAGGAGGCCTATCTTGGCAACCAACAGGAGGTCATCTACGTATAGTATAGCAGGCCTATCTTGGCAACCATCTGGAGGACATCTACGCATAGTATAACAGGCCTATCTTGGCAACCATTAGGAGGTCATCTACGTATAGTATAGCAGGCCTATCTTGGCAACCACAAGGAGGTCATCTACGTATAGTATAGGAGGACTATCTTGGCAATCATCTGGAGGTCATCTACGTATAGTATAGCAGGCCTACCTTGACAACCATAAAGAGGTCATCTACGTATAGTATAGCAGGCCTATCTTGACAGCTATCAGGAGGTCATCTATGTATAGTATAGCAGGCCTATCTTGGCAACCAWCWGGAGGTCATCTATATYTAGTATAGCAAGCCTAACTTGGCAYCCATCAGGAGGTCATCTACATATAGTATAGCAGGCCTATCTTGGCAACCATGAGGTCAWCTATGTAAAGTATAGGAAGCCTATCTTGGCAACCATCTGGAGGTCATCTGCGTATAGTATAGCAGGCCTATTTTGGCAACCACCAGGAGGTCATCTACGTACAGTATCGCAGGCCTATCTTGYCAACCARKWGGAGGTCATCTACYTATAGTATAGCAGGCCTATCTTGGCAACCATCTGGAGGTCATCTACGTATAGTATAGCAAGCCTATCTTGGCAACCAGAAGGAGGTCATCTACTTACAGTATAGCAGGCCTATGTTGGCAACCATGTGGAGGTCATCTACATATAGTATAGCAGGCCTATCTTGGCAACCACAAGGAGGTCATCTACGTATAGTATAGCAGGCCTATCTAGGCAACCATCAGGAGGTCATCTACGTATAGTACAGCAAGCCCATCTTGGCAACCACAAGGAGGTCATCTACGTATAGTATAGCAGGCCTATCTTGGCAACCAACAGGAGGTCAACTACGTATAGTATAGCAGGCCTATCTAGGCAACCAACAGGAGGTCATCTACGTATAGTATAGCAGGCCTATCTTGGCAACCATCAGAGGTCATCTACATATAGTATAGCAGGCCTATCTTGACAACCATGTGGAGATCATCTACACATAGTATAGCAGGCCTATCTTGCCAACCATCAGGAGGTCATCTGCGTATAGTATAGGAGGCCTATCTTGGCAACCATCTGGAGGTCATCTACATATAGTATAGGAGGCCTATCTTGGCAACCATCAGGACATCGTCTACATATAAAACCATATTGATCGATCCATCTGTATATTGATTAGTCCACTGACCATATCAATAATCAAGGACAAAAAATACGCAGACAAATAAGACACCAACCCCTATCCTCAAAACTCCTGTAAATTAAAACACAATCAATGTTGATTAAATAAATAACGACGTTTGAGGTTAAATTACAAGATGATAGCAGGGAGTGACGCGTGTCAACGAAGAATCAGTCGGGGAAATGTAGATCAGTTCATCGCCATGACCGGTAAAAGTATGTGTGTATGTAGGTGTGTTGCTAGGCGGCACTCTGTGATGTCATTGGGAAGGAAAAGCCATGTGTATGGGAAGAAGGAAGGAAATGAGAAGGAAGAGAGGAAGGAGGGGAAAGAAAGGAAGAGGACCGGAGGGAGAAATAAAGAAATGAAAGGAAAGAAGGAAAAAGGAGGGAAGAAAAAAGGAAGGGAAGGAATTAGGAAAGGGAGAGAGGGAAGAAAAAGAAGGGAAGAAAAAGGGAAGGGAAGAAAGATGGAATTAGGAAAGGGAGAGAGGGAAGAAAAAGAAGGGAAGAAAAAGGGAAGGGAAGAAAGATGGAATTAGGAAAGGGAGAGAGGGAAGAAAAAGAAGGGAAGAAAAAGGGAAGGGAAGAAAGATGGAATTAGGAAAGGGAGAGAGGGAAGAAAAAGAAGGGAAGAAAAAGGAAGGGAAGAAAGATGGAATTAGGAAAGGGAGAGAGGGAAGAAAAAGAAGGGAAGAAGAAAGGAGGGAAGAAAGAAGGAATTAGGAAAGGGAGAGAAGGTAGAAAAAGAAGGGAGGGAAGGAAAGAATGAAAATGGAAGAGAAAGGGAGGGAAGAAACAAGGAATTAGGGAAGGGAGAGAAGATAAAAGGAAGGGAGGAAAGAAGAGAAGTGAAAGGAAGAAAGAAAAGAAGGAAGAAAAGAGGAAGAAAGAAGGAAGGGAAGGGAGAGAAGAAGAAAAAGTAAGAAGGGAGGGAAGGGAGGGAGGAAGAAGAAATGAAGGAGGAAAGAGAAAGGAAGGGAAGGAAGAAGGAATAAGGAAAGGTAGAGAAGATAGAGAACGAAGGAGGGAGGGGAGGAAAGAGAGAAAGAAAGAAATAAGGTAAGAAAGAAGAAAGAAAGAAAAAGAAAGGAGGTGAAAGAAGGGAAGAAAAAAGAAATTGGGGAACGGAGAAAAGATTGAAAAAGCAGGAAGGAGGAAAGGAAGGAAGAAGATAGAAAAAGCAGGAAGGAAGAGAAGGAAAGAAAGAAGGGAGAGGAAGAAGGGAGGAAGAGAGAAGAAGGAGGAGAAAGGAGGGAGAAAAAAGGAAGGAAAGGGAGAGAATGTAGAAAAGGGAAGAAAAAAGAGGAAAGGAAAGAAGGGAAAAAAGGAAAAGAGAGGAAAAGAGAAAAGGAGGAAAAGAGAAAAAGGAAGGAAGGGAGGAAGAAAAAAAAGGAAGAGAGAAAAGGGAGGAAAGAAAAGAAGGGAGGAGAAAAAAAGGGGAAGGAAGGGGGGGAAAGAAAGAAAGAAGGGGGAAAGAAAGAAGAAGAAAAAGGAAGGAAAGAAGAGAGAAAAGAAAGAAGGAGAAGGAAGGAGAGGATGATGAAGAAAGGAGGAGAGGGAAAAAGAAAGGGGGAAAGAACGAGGGAAGGAAATAAAGAGAGAGAAAAGAAGGGATGAAGGAAAATAGACAAAGAAGGGAAAGAAAGAAAGAAAGAAAGAAAGAAGAAGGGAAGACATAACAAGAGCAATAATTATAAGGCAGCAGAGAAGTATGTATGAGATGGCCTTCCTTCTGCAAGCAATGAGACTCCTCCATCCATCCCTCCACCTGACTGCGTATTATTTTCACCGCAGTGCCGCTCCCACCCTGGTCCAGTGTTGTAGTTTTGCAAGGCCTTTCCCTCCCAAAGTGGCGTCAGACTGCATTAATTTCGCAGTGTAGATGCCCCCCTGATGGCTTCCTCGGAAAATTAGATCACTCTTTAATATGGCTCTCCATCCGAAAACAAGCCGACACCTGCTTTTTTAAAATAGACGAAATGGAAGGGATATTTCTGTCCTTTGATGCAATCCAGAGACGTTTCTGGAAAGCCTCAGTAGAGCCAATGACTTGGCACAATATCCTCGAAACCATTCGTGTATCGCTCCGAAATCGGAATGAAACAAGACCGAGCCGTCTCTTTATCCTGATATTTTAATAATTTGATTTTATTTATTTATTTAATAATGTAGAATAATAATAATGTATAATATAATAATAATGCCTTATTCTAATAATAATTATATAATAATAATAATAATATCAGTTCAGTGTCTAACCTTAGTCTAATAATAATTATACATAATAATAATAATAATATATCAGTTCAGTTTCTAGTCTTATTGTAATAATATTTATACATAATAATAATAATATATCAGTTCAGTGTCTAACCTTAGTCTAATAATAATTATACATAATAATAATAATAATAATAATAATAATAATAATAATAATATATCAGTTCAGTGTCTAACCTTAGTCTAATAATAATTATACATAATAATAATAATAATATATCAGTTCAGTTTCTAGTCTTATTGTAATAATATTTATACATAATAATAATAATAATAATAATATCAGTTCAGTTTCTAGCCTTATTGTAATAATAATAATAATAATAATAATATTTCAGTTTCTAACCTTAGTCTAATAAAAATTATACGTAATAATAATAATAATAATAATAATAATAAATCAGTTCAGTTTCTAGCCTTATTCTAATAATAATTATACATAATAATAATAATATATCAGTTCAGATTCTAACCTTAGTCTAATAATAATTATACATAATAATAATAATAATAATAATAATATATCAGTTCAGTTTCTAGTCTTATTGTAATAATATTTATACATAATAATAATAATAATATATCAGTTCAGTTTCTAGTCTTATTGTAATAATATTTATACATAATAATAATAATAATAATAATATCAGTTCAGTTTCTAGCCTTATTGTAATAATAATAATAATAATAATAATATTTCAGTTTCTAACCTTAGTCTAATAAAAATTATACGTAATAATAATAATAATAATAATAATAAATCAGTTCAGTTTCTAGCCTTATTCTAATAATAATTATACATAATAATAATAATAATAGTAATAATATATCAGTTCAGATTCTAACCTTAGTCTAATAATAATAATAATAATAATAATATGTAACTTCAGTTTCTAGTCTTATTCTAATAATCATCATCATCATCATATATCAGTTCAGTTTCTAGCCATATTCTAATGATGATGATAATAATAATAATAATAATAATAATAATAATAATAATAATAAATTAGTTCAGTTTCTAGCCTCTTAAACACAGCTTGATTTCTATGGTCTGAAACTGACAAGCATTCGAGGGTCAAAGAAATACATAATAATAATAATAATAATAATAATAATAATAATAATATATCAGTTGATAGATTGATTTCTATGATTATCAGTGGTCTGAAACTGACAAGCATTCGAGGGTCAAAGAAATACATAATAATAATAATAATAATAATAATAATAATAATAATAATATATCAGTTGATAGATTGATTTCTATGATTGTCAATGGTCTGAAAATGACAAGCATTGGAAGGTCAAAGAAATACATAATAATAATAATAATAATAATAATAATAATAATAATAATAATAATAATAATGTATAATCAAAATAATAATAATATATCAGTTCATAGATTGATTTCTATGATTATCAGTGGTCTGAAACTGACAAGCATGGGAGGGTCAAAGAAATACACAATAATAATAATAATAATAATAATATAATAATAATAATGTATAATAATAATAATAATAATAATAATAATATATCAGTTGATAGATTGATTTCTATGATTATCAGTGGTCTGAAACTGACAAGCATTCGAGGGTCAAAGAAATACATAATAATAATAATAATAATAATAATAATAATAATAATAATATATCAGTTGATAGATTGATTTCTATGATTGTCAATGGTCTGAAAATGACAAGCATTGGAAGGTCAAAGAAATACATAATAATAATAATAATAATAATAATAATAATAATAATAATAATAATGTATAATCAAAATAATAATAATATATCAGTTCATAGATTGATTTCTATGATTATCAGTGGTCTGAAACTGACAAGCATGGGACGGTCAAAGAAATACACAATAATAATAATAATAATAATAATAATAATAATAATAATAATAATGTATACTCATAATAATAATAATATATTGGTTGATAGATTGATTTCTATGATTGTCAATGGTCTGAAACTGACAAGGATTGGAGGGTCAAAGAAATGCATAATAATAACAAGAATAATAATAATAATAATAATAATAATGTATACTCGTAATAATAATAATATATCGGTTGATAGATTGATTTCTACGATTGTCAATGGTCTGAAATTGACAAGCATTTGAGGATCAAAGCAATACATTACAATTGTTCATATATATATATGAGAATAATTATGATTATTATATTATTATTCTATTCTGTCAGTTCCTTGGCTTACCTTTTGTCCAGAAGGGTTCGGAGTCCCAGACGGCGGCTTTGCTCCCAAAGATGCTGGCGATGGGGAGATGCACACAACACAGACGGTGCAGCTGGTCTATTGTCTGGGCGAGTGTGCTTTGCACGATTGTGCAGCGCCGCAGCAGCCCCTCCTCGCACGACGATGGCAATGACGCCGGGCCCGGCCCTCGTGCATCAGGGGTGGGATTCCTTCTATTTCTGGCATCTAAGGAGCCCAGCAAAGCATCCCAGGAATGGTGCACTTGTCTTGCAAGGAAATGATGAGGCCGTCGGCTCTATTTAGAATGAATCCTGGCTCTACTTGCATTATATATTATATATTTATTATTATGGTCCTCCTATGATAATAAATAGAATATATATATATATATATATATATATATATATATATTATAATAAACAGAAACAAATGTAATAAATGTCAATACATTAAATATCCTAATAAAGCCTATATAATAAAATGTTTAATAATAAATATAATATAAATATATATTTATATTTATACAATATATATATAAATATATAAATATATATTTATATAAATCTAAAATAAATATAAAATATAAATATAAAAAATAAATAATACTATTACAAATCTAATAATAGCAAATAAAATAATAATAAATCCAATACTATGATCATATAATAAAAAATATTATATTAAATAGTGTAATAAATGTAAATATCATAATGTAATAAATATAAATGTCTTAATTATTAAATTATACATATATATGGGGTCCCCTTCCAACTTTATTTAATAATATTTAATAATATTTTAATATTATAAGAAACAGAAACATTTAATAATATTTTAATATTATAAGAAACAGAAACATTCAATACATTAAATATCGTCCTAATAAAGCCTATATAATAATATGTTTAATAATAAATGTAATACTATTACTAGCAAATCTAATATAATAGCAAATAAAATAATAATAAATCTAATATTGTGATCATATAATTATAAATATTGTAATAAATAGTGTAATGAATGTAAATATAATGTAATAAATATAAATGTCTTAATTATTAAATTATATATATATATATATATAATACATTTACATATAATATGACTAATAATATTGCAATATAGTGGTATATTACAGTATAATAATATATAATATTAATATTGTGCTATACCAATAATATAATATATTATATATAAATATAATATTGATAATATCAATATAATACTAATAATAATTCTACTCGCTAATAATAATAATAATAATAATAATAATAATAATAATAATAATATAGTGAAGGCAAAGGTTTCCCCTCGACATTAAGTCCAGTCATGTCCAACTCTGGGAGTTGGTGCTCATCTCCATTTCTAAGCCAAGAGCCGGCGTTGTCCATAGACACCTCAAAGGTCATGTGGCCAGCATGACTGCATGGAGCGCCATGTGTGTGTGTATCAGAGTGTTACCTATTGATCTACTCACTTTTACATGTTTTTGAACTGCTAGGTTGGCAGGAGCTGGGGCTAACAGTGGGAGCTCACCCCATTCCTCAGATTCTAACCGCTGACCTTTCGGTCAGCAAGTTCAGCAGCTCAGCGCTTTAACCCGCTGCACCACCAAGGGCTCTAATATAGTAATGCTAATATATTAAATAAAATTACTACTAATAATATATAATGATACACAGTTTTGTTATTGTATATATTAAATTGTAATGTTTTTGATCGTGAGCCACTTTGAGTGTGTGTGTGTATATATATATATGTATATGTATGTATATGTATATGTGTGTGTGTGTGTATATATATATATATATATATATATATATATATATATATATTCCGTTGTTTAATTATCACTTTTACCTATGTAGCCATGAGGACAGGTGGATAGGATAAGAATTATTATTATTATTATTATTATTATTATTATTATTATTATATTATATGCCTAATTGTATCTCTATGGCCCAACAACGGGCTTCATTCTGATCTGCAAAAAAAAAAAGTGCAAAAAAAGTCACACGCAACTTTTCAAACAACCAAAGAAACTTTGTAAATAACAGGAAGTGACCTCTGGACCGCTTCCTCTTTCTCGGGGTGTATAATCAGCACAACCTCCAAAATGGCTCGGTTTCCTTTTTATCATGTCACCTTTGGGGTTCCCTTCCAACTCTAAGAGTCTATGGATACAGAATGAGGCACGTCTGGATGACCTTTGGGCTTCCCTTTCCAACTTCAGAGTCTATGGACACAGAATGAGGCACATTAGATGACCTTTGGGGTCCCCTTCCAACATTAGAGGCACGTCTAGATGACCTCTGGGGTCCCCTTTCCAACCAGAGTCTATGGACACAGAATGAGGCACGTCTGGATGACCTTTGGGCTTCCCTTTCCAACTTCAGAGTCTATGGACACAGAATGAGGCACATTAGATGACCTTTGGGGTCCCCTTCCAACATTAGAGGCACGTTTGGATGACCTTTGGGGTCCCCTTTCCAACTTCAGACCCTATGGACACAGAATGAGGCACGTCTGGATGATCTTTGGGGTCCCCTTCCAACATCAGAGTCTATGGACACAGAATTAGGCAGGTCTGGATGACCTTTGGGGTCCCCATCCAACATTAGTGTCTATGGACACAGAATGAGGCACATCTGGATGACCTTTGGGATTCCCTTTCCAACTTCAGAGTCTTTAAACACAGAATGAGGCATGTCTGGATTACCTTTGGGGTCCCCTTTCCATATTAGAGGCATGTCTGGATGACCTTTGGGGTCCCCTTCCAACATTAGAAGCATGTCTGGATGACCTTTGGGGTCCCCTTTCCAACTTTAGAGACTATGGACACAAAATGAGGCACCTCTGGTTGACCTTTGGGTCCTCCTTCAAGGCACATTTGGATGACCTCTGGGGTCCTCTTTCTAACTTTAGAGTCCATGGACACAGAAGGAGGCACGTCTAGATGTCCTTTGGGGTCCCCTTCCAACATTAGAGGCATGTCTGAATGACCTCTGGGGTCCCCTTTCCAACCAGTGT